GAAACATAGATTAGACAAGTTTAATAATTTTCTTTTACATTCAATGTAGAGAGCTGGAATAAATCATGCATGCTTCATTCGATCAACAATTATCGTACGTTGTTGTTCTTGTTGTGACATTTCATGCACTTGTAAAATTTTAATTAATTAATTAATCAACTTAATTAATGCTAGCTAGGCTTTATTATATATTATTATTCATCCTATAATATTCCACTCTAACCCTATCTTCCATTTAAGCCAATAAATTTTTGGTGGCCTACATGAAAAGTAATGGACCATGTACTCATTAGTGACGGCAACCATATAATTATAGAATACTTCTATTTATTTATTATTCGATTTAATATGATTTTAATTATACACCCTACACTTTTGGCTAAGAAATTTTGCCTACATACACCCTTTTTCAACTTCTTATATTATATTGAATAAGATATATTATTCTATAATAATCCGTACCATCCTACAAAAATGGAAATAAGAAATGATAATATTTAATAATTGAATACTTTTTTTGGATAAATAGAAAGACGAAAAAAATGAATTTAAAGAAAATAGAGAATGAAAAATTGGAGAAAGAAAAATAGAGATTAAAGCATACATAAGTACATAGCCTTAGCGTGTGTTTGGTTCATGGGTTTAGCTACCAGGAATGGGAATCAAAGTCATTGTTATTGTTTGGTTGACAGGTTTCTAGAACACTACTATGAGATTTGATTACCCAGAAAATCCATTCCCCAATAAAATAAGGGTTTCATTCCATTATTCTCCCCTAATTGGTAATTTGATTTGTATGTTTGGATTAATGCTTTTAGATTTTTGTTTTGTTTTTTTTTTTTTTTTTGTTTTTTTTTTTTTTTTCATATTGGTGCTTTAGATGTCTTTATATTAGAAAAAAAAATTGTCTTGATTTTTTGTTCTTGTATTTTTAAAACATTTACTCCCATTATAAGATCATACTTAACCAAAGAGCAATATTGGTAATCATTCAAATTTCACCCTACTACCAAACATGCAGAATATTTTCACCAAAACATATTATCATTACCAAGTATTTAATTCCCATTCTCATTCCGATTCCCATGTGCGAACCAAACACATTTTTCAAGTTGAATGGCAATGCTGTATCATAAAGTATTGCACAATGTTCATATATATATATATATATATATATATATATATATATATATATATGTGTGTGTGTGTGTGTGTGTGTGTGTGTGTGTGTGTGTGTGTGTGTGTGTGTGTGTGTGTGTGTGTGTGTATATGCGTGTATTATAATATAATTAATAAATATGTAAGCTGCCCTAATGGAGGAGCGAGTGAATGAAACATGATTATCTTTGACTTGAAGGTTATAATTTTGATTATTGTCAACGTCATCTCAGTCAAGCTTGCTTTTGACATATAGTATCTATCATTGAAAGATGTGGTTTAGTGGGCGGAGCGCAGCATATATGCAATGCAAACACCCTATTGACTACTATAAACAAAAGGGGATGATAATGTTGGGTTACCACGCTGACTACTACACAAATATAATATAAAGAAAGAATAAGGGCCAAATAGGCCACTAAATTGTACACCAAGTTGCAATTAGGCCATCGAACTCAAAAAACAACAATTGGGTCTTTGAACTACACAAATTCATGCAATTAGGTCTAAAATGATCTGTTTACCTAATACTCTGCAGACGTGGAGGTTGCGGATTTTAAAAATTATTTTTAAAATAATTTTAAACAAAAAATTAATTAAAAAAAAAACATAACGATCGAAGACAAAATCGTCTCCGGCCGTCCTTCGTCTCCTGTCATGGAGACGAAGGTCTCTTCGTCTCTCCGGCCAGGGAGACGAAGGTCTTCGTCTCCTGCCACCGAGATGAAGGACGGCCGGAGACGATTTCGTCTCTGGCCGTTCTATTTTTTTTTGTTTTTTGTTTTTTAATTTAATTTTTTGTTTAAAATTATTTTAAAAATTATTTTTAAAATTCCCAACTTACATAGCAGGTAAACGGGTCATTTTAGACTTAATTGCATAAATTTGTGTAGTTCAGGGACTTAATTGCATCTTTTTTGAGTTTGATGGCCTAATTGTAGTTTGGTGTGCAGTTTAGTGGCCTATTTGACCCTTATTCCTATAAAGAAATATAGTTAACATTTGCTACTAATTATAACTTTTGACGTAATAGACAAGTTGATCAGTTAGTTGTTTTTTTTTTTTTTTTTTTTTTTTTTTTTTTTTTGCGAATAAAACAAAATGTTAACTTTTATTATTTAAAACCAGTATTTCCTATGCACGATGCCTAAAAAGTTAATGTCCAATATAATAGTACTCTATATTAAAATCTTAGATTTATTTACTTTTTAGATATTTATATTATTGTATAATACTAATAATAACAACAATGATAATAATAATTTTATTATTATGTAAACTGTTTTTATAAGTTTGATATTTAATTTATATTTTAGAAAATAACTTATATAGTATTTTAATATAAATGTCTATATATTATTACCATTGAAGAAGATAAGAAAATATATGATGAATAATTATGTGAATGTCAACAATTGTTGAAGAAAGATAACAGAAATTATAACAGTAACAGGGTGTTTGGTTGAAGGGATTTTAAATTCCCTTCCCACTTAATTCCCACCTAATTCCAAAGATCATTAAATTCCGTAGTTTGGTTGGAGGGAATTGCAATTCCCCCATTTTCATGGAATTAAAATCCCATATCCCCCCTTGGGATTTTAATTCCTGGGAAAAAAAGATAGTGATGAGTCAAAATTACCCCTTCCTTTTTTAACCTAAAATTAATGTCTAACAACAATAATGGACATTTTTGACTTTATACTACTTATTCCCTTTCAATTCCCATATATACCAAACATTGGAATTGAAATTCTCAGTAATTCTATTCCTGTCAACCAAACACTGGAATTTAAATTCCCACTTTATTCCCAGTAATTCAACTCCCATGGAATTACAATTCCTTTCCCACATAATTCCTCCCGTCCAACCAAACGCCCTGTAAATATATTTTTGATCAAAATATTGTATAATACAACTTTTATAGTTATCCTTCACACTTTTAGAAATGTCACCTTTTAAGAAAAAGAATAAAACACTACTCAGGCTATTTTGTTTGTAGGGGTAAGAGCATTCACATCAGTGGATATTATGGAGATAATGTCAGATGAATTATCTTGGGTGGGGATAATAACAAATGTGGGGTGGGGTTATTTATCAAAATATTTGTTCTGCAAAATTGGGGAGAATGCAGAAAAAGAAGAAAAGGAAAGAGAAGAAAAAGGAGGCTGCTGTGCGCGTTTCGCGCACAGCAGCCTCCCACACGGGCGCGTCAGGCGCGCCTAACCCTTTACTTTTTTATTTTTTTTTTTGTTTTTTAATTTTTGATTTTGATTTTTTTATTTTTTTTTCCTCCCCTTCCCACATTCTCTCTCCTAATCACTCTTATATTATCTCCCAATTCTCCCCAACCATTGTGGATGCTCTAAGAACGTGAAAGACTACGTGATGTTCATCGTACGTAAGCACATAGTACATAAGCAATTGATCTCATTACGCCTGGATTCAGTGAATGAATAGGACAAATATATCTACGTGAAGCTGCACCGGGCCAGTTCCTTGAAACGTTAATATAAAATTCAGATTTGTTATTAAAAAAAAGAAAAATAAAATAAGATAAAGAAAAAGAGAGCACTTTCACTTTGACAAATGATTCTACATTAATTAAGGTTCAAAGACAATGTAAAGATAAAGTTGTCAACGAAACGAGTTAATTACAGGTGATGATGAGGTTATCCAATACGTAGTTTTTCTCCTAACAATATCAGAAAAACGAGAACAAAAGATCATAAATAAAGAATTTTTTTTTACATAATTTTGCGGGTGTCTATAATTGTGATGATAATGTTAGATACAAATAATCTAACTATATTGAATGATAGTATACGAGAGACCTGATCTCGTATAATCAGAAGCCACAGTCGTGTTGATCTCTCCCGCCACAGTTGATGTTCCTGTTGTATTGCCTCTTAACGGTAGACCGTTGGCTATTATTTGCCAAATACCTGACTCAGGACCCTAGATGGTGTATTGGTATCTACTGAGCAGTATGAATACCTTAACTGAATGTGCTATATCATCAATCATCCCGTATCCCATCAATTCAGGATTATATTAGGCACAGAGTTTGATGGACTAACAACTTTTAGTTATTCAGTCTAGCTAGACCATTTAATAAGTAATAGGGAAAATCTTACAGATAATACATGTTACGATATATTGACAAAATTACTCATGTACCGTACTGCGAGGCACTGCCCAGCACCCCTAGCTCACTTAGCGAACCTATTTTAGGTTTGAACCCCATAGACATATGGTCATGCGCTATCATTTCGTTCTACTCCTCTCCACTCACTCTACACTGATCCACTACACGTTTGCACCTATTACCTTCTAGTAATATACGAGACATACATATAACACAAAGTAAAGTAATAATTCGGCATTGAATTAATATTTGTCTTTGTGATGATGAAATTGATAATAAGATTATTTTTTTTTGAATATATAAGAAATTAAGATTACTCTTGTGCTTCATTAGGTTGATAAAGTATGTTTGAACTGATACTACAATGTAATAGAGTCGATAGCATTAAAAAAAAAAAAAAAAAAAAAAAAAAAAAAAAAAAAAAAAAAAAGCAAGTGTGATAGTTAGCCATCAGGTTGACCATCCAGATGCATGCAAGGAATTGAAACTATTACTATTTTTATTACTTTTGGGACCTTCTTTATCAATTAAGTGGCAGATTCCTGACCCATCATCACCCATATGTTTCCCAAAATTCCTTTATTATTAATTTTATTTTTTTTTGGATACATTATATGTTTCCCAAATTCAATATAATCACGTTTTCAAAATTCTCTCACCATTATAAGTACCAACCGCCCCAACTTGCGCTTTCACCCCATGCAAGCAAATTGAAAAATGGCGGACCATAATACCGGCAAAACCAGGGTGGATGACGGCGGCTCTGGCGGCGGTGGCAGTGGGGAGGTCAAGTACCGCGGCGTCCGGAAGCGGCCGTGGGGGAAATACGCGGCGGAGATTCGGGACATGACTAAGCCGGCGGGGGCGAGAGTTTGGCTGGGAACGTTCAACTCGGCGGAGGAGGCGGCGAGGGCTTATGACAGGGCGGCTTACGCCACCCGCGGCCACCTCGCCATCCTTAACTTCCCCGAAGAGTACAATTTGCCCAGAACCTCCTCCCACTTCTACTCTGCTTCTTCTTCTTCTTCTTCTTCCGCCATGGAAGCCGGCGGCAAGGAAGTGATTGAGTTTGAGTGCTTGGACGATAAGGTGCTGGAAGATCTCCTCGACTACGATCAAAATCCCGGGAAGAAGAACAGAGGTTGATTTCGATGTGTACGATGATGATAATTAATACGCTAATTATGTCTGCTAATAACGAATGCCGGTGCCGGCATTTCACTGTTTGGGGATGGAATGTTAGTTGTGTTTGTTTTCACTCTTTTTCTGAAGAGTGTTTGGTCAAATAAATGCATGCAATCTCTTCCTTAGCATTGCAGACTAAATAAACTTGCATGGATATGATGCATGCATGGAAATGATGGAATGGTTCATCTTCAAATAATTGGTTCCACCCCCTATGTATGTAAATATATGAAGTGTGGTTTTCAATGGAGTGTGATGTTTCAACTCTTCTATATTCACGGCCGGAAATTAGGAAATTTCCCACCACCTGAAAGTGATCTTAAAAAATCAAGTCGAAAGTAAAAAGTGGTCGGAAATAGCAACAAAGGTTTTTCCGAATATCAAAGGTGATCAGATCGGAACAAGGCTTTCAACTTGATTTAAGATTACTTTCAGTGGTCAGAAATTCCATAATTTCCAGCAGTGATACTCTATAATATAATTAGGTAGCTCAATTCATTTACAATACGAGTTTCACCCGGAGTGAATCCTTGGGTAGTAACCGTGAGCGAGTTTTCTAGTAAATCAAAATAGTTCAACTAGTGAGTTAAAATGTAATCTGATATTGCATCATTTTTGGATCAATAGATCGAGTAATGTATTACAAGTAATCTTATATATATATATATATATATTTTTGGGTGGCGAGGGGAATCCGGCCACCACCATTACTTAAAAGTACACATTGTCATGTTTTGTGACCTAGTAAATGACCATAAGAACCTAAATTAATCTAGATTGTCTATAATTGATCAATCAAAAATTTATAGTTACCAAGCCAAGCCCAACTAATTTGACTTGATAATGCATATATGCATTTTGAACTCCGTACATACAATGCTAGTTCGTACAAGAAAACAATCAAATAAATTATATTATATCAAATCTAGCAACGAATTAAATAATTACTGCTTAAATATTTATGAATCATAAAATACATAAAAGAAAAAATTGCCAAATAAATTTCAATATTAGAAATAATAAACAAATTAAACCATTTTAGCAGAGTTTCAAACCTTATATATATTAATCTCGTTTCCTCTTCTTCTTCTCATTCTCTACTCCAAGAAGCTGTTCAAGGAGACTGTCATCAAAGTACTCTATCTCAAACACTTCTTTGCTTCTTTCCGTTGATGATGAACCTTCTTTTCTCGCCGGAGGTGAAGACGACGGCGGCGGTGGTGGCGGCGGCGGCGTTGATGCTGACGAAGGGTGGTAATAATAATGAGGGAAGTTCAAGGTGGCATGGTGGCCACGTAGGTTAAATGCCGCCCTGTCATAGGCCCTGGCGGCCTCCTCCGCCGAGTCAAACGTTCCTAGCCACTGACGGCCGCCGTCCAGGGCGGAATCCTTTATCTCCGCCCCGAACTTCCCCCACGGCCGCCGCCGGACACCGTGGTACTTTACTTCTTCCTTCTGTTGGGCCTTTCCTTTATTATTGGAAGAACTTCCCTCCATGAAAAAATGTTTTTGTTTTTGTTTTTTTGGCAAATTGTCACGAACAGGGTTAAGGTTTATATAAGATTATTACGTTATGTGGTGTGTACAAGCAGACCAAATTCAATTGTTTGTTCGACAAAATCTATTGTACATGCTGTATTGAAAGGGACATATGTGTATATATATATTGCCACGAACCTACCCAGATTCTGGTCAATCATTCTCACCCCATCTTCCTGGATGGAACTATTTAGAATGTTTTTCTATTTTGTAATTACCTAGAAATGGAGTCTTCGCGACACCATTAATGTTAGAAAATGATACAAACTCAACCTCAACGGTGTGACGGACTCACAATCGATGTGTGCGACAAGATGCTTAGTGCTCTTGGTCGGAATTCGATTTTCTTTCGTACCTATCGAACAAAACGCGTTAAAATGGACTGATTGGAACTCGAGGCCCCATGCCCTTAAGGTGGACCAAATCTGAGAGCTCAGGCAATCGATTGCATACCCATCTTCACAAACGCCACATTTGCTAGCCAATTTTACAGGTTAATTTTAGCTCTCACTCAGAATTGAATCTGAAATCGAGCACCAACCGAACGATAGTCAAATGGCTAATTAGATTGAAAGATGTAGTCATTGATGTATATAACATTTGTTTGCTTCCTTAATGATAATTCATTGTTTTGAGGAAAAAAAAAAGTTAAATTTTAATTAACACTTTGAAAGTGGGTGTGATTAAACATCTTTCTAGAAAAGTACCTATACAATAAAAATAGTTGTTACTACAAATAGTAAAACTATTTGATCATTTTGTCACTTTCAATATCAAAGAAACGATAATGACATTTGAGTGCTCATTTTCAATATTTTGAAATTAGTGAAATATTGTATCCTTTTAATGACTTTTGATGATTGATGGTTCAAACTCCATTTCTCCAAATTTATACCTTGCTTATTAGGTATGAGAGCCGTGCTCTACCGATTCGATCACCACTTCTAACACAAGAAGATTCTTGTTTTGATAATGAATGAGAATTAAAATAAGATCAAAATAAATAAATACCAAACAATTATCAGCTAATAGCTAATTTATCAAACACTTCTCTACAATCAGCTAATATTATCAACTCGTTATACTTCTAATTAACCCAATCAGCTAGCTAGTAGCTAACAACCATTTACGAAACAGGTATAGCCGGTTGAAAATTCAATGGAAAGATTGAAACGACAGGAATAGTTGAACACAGCCTCAAATGTATTTGATTTCATTTTCGATTTTGATTCTCATCATGGACCAAATTCACCTGTAATCTTCTTCATTTTTTTTCATTGTTTTTAACTTCAGCCAAAGTGGTTCCACTAATGTGTCACTATCAAATATTTAATTTCCTCGTACGTACTACGTAGTATTCAAACGTTTATAATATTGAACGCATGAGCAAAACTGAGTACACGGCCATGAGGTCGGTCAAAGCCTTGTCACAAAGGGCTGTTGCCGTTGACTTGTTCTCTTTTTGTCTTTGTTTTGTTTTTTTCTTTTTTTGACACCGGCGTTGACTACTTGTTTTTAGTGACGAATGATGGATGTTAGGGTTGATGTATGATTAAAAAGTAAAATAAATATTTTTTTATATTTTTGAACGTGTGCGTATGTATAAATACGAAAAACTCCCAAGCTGAGAATATGTAAGCTAATCTGAGCCATTAAAATTAGACAATTAACGGTTGTGATCAAATCATTGTAATATACGTATTAGTTCACTGCCCGCTGGAGTTGGGCAGCCTACCCGGAAAATTGCTCCGAAAGGCAATTTGGTCAGTCAACAAATCTAATCAAAAACATATTTCAACGAAGCGCAAAAGAAGAAGAAACTTGAATCCATGACGAAAGATCATAACCAATAACGGAAAGTTCTAGTCAGAAATCGAAGAGAGACAATGAGAGCAGCAGTGTGGGAGCAACCTCTCAAAGTGAGGGGGCTCCTTGTGCGCAGTAAGCAAATGTCTAGCATCTGTGGTTCATGTTCAGCTGAGTTACCATGATTTACATCATTTCAGATGCTCTGTCGGGCCGGGGTGTCGGGGACCCTTAGAGTTGGGGTTAAACTTTAGATGAATAAAAGATAAAACTTACGGGATATATCTCCAAAGAATCAAGGAGCATAACCCATGCCTCATGAAACTCCATGCAAGGAAACAACGAAGAAAATTACTCCATTAACCCACCACTTAAATTTAAAAAAAAAATGTTAATTAAATAAGCATTTTAGTCAAATTACTCAAATTAGGTACTTTAATTTGTATTTTGCTTCCTTGGGCTGAAGTTATCTCAATGAAGGCCTAAATCTTCAAAGTCTATAGAGGACCCATATATTGCATTTTGGGCCAATTTATTGGATTGAACTTTTGCATACTTGGTTTGTAAAGTGGCAAATTATACCGTGCCCAATTTATTGCATTGTGCGCCTTGGCCCAAAACGACGTCATTTTATACTTTTTCGCGTGTCTGTTGTTAATTTTTTTTTTTTAAAAAAAATCATGTTTCGAATGTACAGAATCGTATAATAGAATACACAGAATTTTATAACTGAATATACATAATCTGTTTTTGAAAGGATAATACACATAATCTAACATAATACATAATATACATAAACTCTTAACATAATACATACGCATAAACTCTTAACTCTTTAAAAAAAAATCATGTTTCTAATGTACAGAATTATATAATAGAATGCACATAATTTTATACCTGGAAACACAGAATTTTATAACTGAAAATTCCCATGTTTCGAATGTACAGAATTATATAATAAAATGCATAGAATTTTATACCTGAAATTAACAAAACGACGTCATTTTAGGAGGCGTGGGGCGCATATTACTATGTGCCCTCAGGTGCACGGTATAACGATTGGTAAAGAGTCACCACATCAATGTTGGATCTTATAAGAGAATTTGCTCAATCTATTACTAATTTTTTGAAAATAAGATATTACTAATTTAATTAAAGGAAATTTGTAATTTTGGTAGGTGAGTTATATATAACAATATAGTGAATTTAGTTCTTAGAATATACTTTAGTTTATGAGTTAGGTTATCGGTCAAGTGACTTAGTCCTCCATTAACGATTTATTAAAACTATACCTCTCGGATTGTTATGCCATGGACGCGTGTCCACCTTTGGGTCCAATACAACACCGTTATGCAATTTGGGAGTAACGGTGCCGTTAGTGGCACTGTTTTTCCTCCACCAATCAATTTTTTTTTTTTTTTTAATTTGTCAAAAGAATTCAGTGACATCAAAAATTGTGAACTACTGTTATGTAATTGTGAATATAGAGTTCAAGAATTATGAATATAGAGTTCTATAATTATGAACATAGACTTCTAGAGTTCAAAAATTGAACATAGAGTTTTATAATTATGAACATAGAGTTTTGTAATTGTGAATATAGAGTTCAATATAATTGTGAATATGGAGTTCAAAAATTATGAACATAGAGTTCTATAATTATGAAAATAGACTTCCTGAAGACAAACGCCGTTAACAGCGAAAGAAAGTAATTTTTTTTTTTAATTGACACAGTGTCGTTTTCCACCAAAATGACGCTGTTTTGGAACCTTGTCCACCTTGCAAGGTGGGCATAGTTCCACAGCATAATTTGCCTATAACATAAGAACAAAAAAAAAATCTTTTTTTTTTTTTTAGGTCAGACCACTAGGTGTTCTGAGTAGACCCTAACTATAGGAGACACCTTTAAACCCGTACTATACTCAGACTAATCTTCGTTCGCATCGGGCGAGCTGGGCAATTAAAGTGCTAAAATTTTCACACCTAATAAACACAAAATTTTATTTTTGGACGGGGCATATAAATAGTTAGTAATTAATAAATAATAAATAATAAATAATTAATGAAACATGTGTAACCGGTTTAGGGTATACAAAGATTCCACTAATTACATTTTTATTTTTTATTTTTTTATTTGTACTGAAAGCAATATATATCAAATTGACAAGCATATTAGGGTGCAATATGCATGCATGGGCGGGGAAGAAGCAAGCTTGTTTACCTAACCACGCAAACTTCACATACAAAGTACAATCTAATAATCATCATTTCAAGGTTGAATTACTGAGATAATGCAAATATATTTCTGCTGCAAAGTTGAAACTTTTTGAATTATTTTGGCCTAATATATATCATCATCATCATTGATATTGTTGTTATGTTTTTTTTTTTTTTTTTTTTTTTTTTTGAATGAACTTTTTTACAATGTAGTATCTGTTCATATACTTTCTCAACCTACTGAAACACAAAAAGCCAATAACACTTTTACTAAGACTCAAACTCACAACCTTTCAAATGGAAGTCCAACTCTAATACCATTAGACCATATAGTCTTATTGTTATGTTGTGAGGTGACTTTAATTTGGTGTTTTGAGTTAATCTCATCGCTGAGGAAAATTGAGAGGCTAACGCGAATGAACAAGTAACGATTTCTACCACGGAAGATGCTATATGAGTAAGACATTACGTACAAAGACAGAAAAACAAAGAAGAAGATTTATGTTTTGTTATTCGACTGTTACCTATGTCCACAAACGTGAGCAAAAGAGACGACGATCTTTTATTAAATGTGAAGATAATATATTCAAAGATGTAAAAAATTCTTTTTTTTTTTTTTTTTTTTGAATGCTACTGACTCTATTACAATGTAGTATCTGTTCATAACTACTTTATCAACCTACTGAACAAAGAGCCACTACCGCCTCCCTTAATAAAGTGTTTAACATTAATAAAATTTTGTAACTTTTTTAACTAGACAAGATTTTTATCAAAAGTTTACAAATATGTATTAAAATTCAAAACACTGATCTGACCTCCTCATATAATAAATATACCGACCATAATCTACTTGCTATTTGTTAATAATTCCCATTATTTTCATGTCGTCACAATTAATCACTTCCACAGTCTCAAGTCTTGACCAAACAGTAACACAATACGTA